TTATGCACTTGAGAAACAACTGAGAAAGGATTTTTTCCCTCCAATCTGAAGAAAAATTATTTCTGATATGAAGCACTGCCTTGTTACTTGTGTCGTACTAATCGTTTGTGACAGAAAGCAGTCAGTATAAATATTTTGTCATCTCTTAGGTCCAATTATGACCAGCTTCTGCATGTATTATGGATGGAATACCTGGTATAATACATGGCATTTGGACAGAAAATGTGTTTTGGAATCCCAAATAGAAAGATATTAGTGGATAATAGTTGTAGTCACTATGCAGTATACATACAGTATTTGTTTGGGGCGGAATAAGAACATGACTGCCCACATTAATACTATTACAGCATGTTATCCTCTACAGTGTTCATTCCTTAATGTTGTCATTGTTTCTGAAAGATTGTCATTTGTATTTGAAAAGTATTCTGTGAAATTAATAAAAATATACTTGCTATAAAGTTTTTGTGTTATGCATTTATTTTACTAGTTAACTAGCACAATGTTAGCTTATGTTTATACAGTTATTATGAATTTGCAAAATGCAAAACAAGTGATCTTATAAAGACTTTTACTAGTTTTGGATTAGCTACATTATACTTTTATAGTTTGTATTCCATAGTACACATTACATCTTGTGACAATGACTAACATATACATATATTGTTGTTACATTGCTTATAAAATACTTACTGCATAATGCTCTCATGTCCATTTTTATAATGTCAGTCATTCTGCCTTATGAAAGCCATTTATGGATTCCTTAATTGATTGGTAAGTATAGGTAGGGATGAAGGAATTTATGATTGTCATAGCATCCTCATGGTCACATAATCAAAATCCAGGTGCTTGGCAACTGACATGCATTTATGATGGTTGCAACATTCTGGAGTCACATGATCACTATTTGTGGTTTCCAACAAGCAAAGTCAATGGGAGAAGCTAGAGTTGTTTAACAACTGCGTAATTCACTTAACAAATGCTGTGATTTGCTTAACAACTGGCAAAAAAGTTGTAAAATTGGGCAAGACCCACTTAACATCAACCTTGCTTGGCAATGGTAATGCTGGTCTCAATTGTAGTTATACGTGAAGAACTACCTTTAATATAGGATTAGAATGTATTTGGAAGTTATTGGGAATTGGGATGTATTATGTGGAGTGTGGGAAATGCTTGGTTAAAAAGTGGCCGAATAGTTTGCCAGATTGCTGACTCCATGTAACATAACTACTGTACAATTAATTACTGTATAGTGTAAATAGGGAAATACCAGCACTGGTCATGTTATATGAGCAAGAAAATTGTAATAAGAGGATGGAGAATGCAGCTGTTATAACCTGGTGGTATCCTGCTGGTTTGGCTTTTTCAGGGGAAAGGTGATCTCAAACTTGGTGTTTGTTTCTCCCAAGCTAGTTGCCCTATCCTGGGGACCTGTAATTGGATTGGTCTCAAGGTGTTGCTAGTAAACACAATATCTGTAACAAGACTATGGTGATAAACAGGCATACCAGGAGTGCATTGCCAAAACCTTACTGAGTGAAGGTGGGGATGTTGGTCTGTCATCTTGGAATACTTTTTAGGATGACAACTTTTCTTCTGGAAAGGAACCAGCTCCAAGAGCTTCCCCCTGGATGCTAGGATCAGTTACCACTGGTTATCACTAGTAAAGTCCTGATTCACTTGAGTCTTGACTTCACTTGGACGGGATCTATAGTAGTAATTGGGACAACCACTTGCCAAGTTATGTGGACTTTTTTCTCCCTGTAACTTCTGAGAAAATGGATAAGGTACTCACCAGGATGAGCTCTGCCATCTGTGGTCTAGACCCTTGTCCTTCATAGTTTTTTTGGTATGTTGGAGGGGAGTTATTCTGTGGATCTGGAAGATTGAGAACAGTTCCTTGTGAGATAGGTTATGGCTAGAAGCCTTAAAGGAAGCTGTTGGATTCCTTTAATAGGCCTCTGGATCCAAAGAGTTCTCCAATTGTTCTTGGTTAACAAAACAAAGGTGAGGGATCAACTACAGAGTGCCATAGATGAATCAGATTATCTGGACTATTATCAGAGTTCAGGCATGAATCCTTTGTACGTAGACAGACAAACCATTTAGAACAGTGGTTCTCAACCTGTGGGTCGGGACTCCATTTGGGGTCGAACGATTATTTCACGGGGGTCGCCAAACAAGGCTGTCCGCCATTTTTTCTCCCTTTTCTTTGGCCACGCCCCTGGCACCCGGTGATGTATAAGTGGTTGGGGGTCACCACAACATGGGGAACTGTATTATGGGGTCGCAGCATTAGAAAGATTGAGAACCACTGATTTAGAAATTATTTTTAAATGTATGTAAATTATTTATTTTTCAAAAATGCTATTCAAAAGTGCTGACAGTCCACAAAAACACATATAACCTTTAAAGCTATAGTATCTGAAGACTCAATCACTGAGAGTCAATGGTAATACATCAATTTTTCATTTTTTCATCAAGGTTTTTTTTTTTTTTGCATGTTAAGTTGAATCTATTTAAAAGTATTTTCTAAAAGGTCCCAGAATGAAATTATCTCTACTCACCTTTAACATGTTAAAATACAAGTAAATGCATTGTAGCCTTAGTCTGATTTTTGCAATACCTGTATATGTGCACAGGAAATATGAGGTGCTCATCTAAAACAGAAACTAACTATATATATATATATAGTCAGCTGTGCAGTATTACAGAATAGATTTGCAAATGCGTGGTTGGGTATATATGATTGTTTATGCTTCAGGTATGCAGGTAGTGGTGCTCCTCACCCGCAAGTGTTGAAAAAGTTTCTTAGCCAACAGGAAACCACAGCTTTGATGACTCTAATACATTCCGTATAGAAAAAACATCTTGGTCAGCAACTTTTGGACATCTACATGTGCTTTCTATGCAGGGACAATCAAATCTGGTGCTTTCCAGAAGTTTGTAGTACAATGACTGAGTTTAATCATTATGCTTAGCATATTAGGTTGCCAGTTCTTGAAATAGAAGATAAAAATATGAAGAAAATAAAGGGACATTTCTCACACATAAAACTTGTTCCTGAACTACTTCAGAGCTATACTTGGCACATGAGAGGTATATCCAATGTTCTCCTTTTATACCCTGAGTCATGCTTTTGCTTCCCTAAATTTATATATTTCAGCTTAGTTATGGTAAAAATAATTGTTCAAAATATCTGCAGAGGTGTAGGCTAAACAGCTGATGGTGGTTGTAGAAATAGGTTGTCCAGTTGAGACTCCTTCCAAACTTACTTGAATATGAAGTATTTATCATAAACTTATTTGATGAAGAACAGAATTTAACTCTTTGTTGTTTGCTTTAATTAAATGGGAAAAAAATCAAATACCACATCAGTTTTCCATGGACCCCATAAACTAAGCTGCTATTGCAGGATCCAATCTGAGTCAGTCACTGGGATGAAAGATTTATTCTTCCAAGCTTTCAGGCTCATGCTGGAGCGCATTCTCAGGGAAATTTCTTTCTCCATGGATGGGCTCCGGCACAAGCTGGAAAACTTGGCAGAATAAATCTTTGGTCCCAGTGACTGACTCAGATTGGATCCTGCAACATTAACCTGGGACACATATATTTGCTTTCATTCCTAAGGCTGCTATTGCAAATGTTCTGCACATTTTGCATTCTACTTCTCTCTGTCCCCAGTGGTGACAATTTTGCCACTTCCTAATACGTAATAGCCCAAGTGTGATAGTAGTCCAGAAAAAAATGATGTAAGACAATTGTTAAGATACTACAACCATCTTTTTAAATATAAACTATCAATACCTGAAAAAATCCTGTAAAAGCTAATCAAGCAGCATATTTGTCAGCACTTAGAAATGAACACGGTGATCTCTAGAAGTCGGCATGAGTTTGTTAAAAAATGGCATATCAAACGAACCTTATTGTCTTTAATGAAGCGACTAATTTATTGGACCAAAGAAATGCTGTGGAGATAGTATATTTAGTCTTCAGTAAGATGTTTGATAAAGAAGACCACAGTCTACTACTTGGGAAGATAGAACAATATACAGTACTAGCACCAAATGGATTTGCAGTTAGCTGACCAACTGCTCTACACATTGAGTGTGTAGTCCTACATCTACATGGAGGGAAGCATGCAATGGGGTACCTCAAAGTTCTGTCCTGGCCCCAATGCTCTTCAAAATCTTAATAAATGATCTACATGAGGGGATTGAAGAGGTGCTCATCAAATTTGTAGATGGCACCAAGCTGGAGGGAATTGCCAACACTTTGAAAAATAAACTCAAGATTCAGAAGGATTTTGACAGAAAAACATTGGGCTCTACCCAACAAGGTGCAGTTCAGTGGTAAGAAAAGTAAGGTATTTAGGCAGGAAAAAACAAATGCACAAGTATAGGCTAGCTCAACAGTAATGCCTGTGAGAGGGATGTTATCACTTAAGTATGAGCAATATGCTGCAACTGCCAAAAAAAAGCCAACACAGCCCTAAGCTGCATCAACAGAGGGATAGCATTAAGATCACAGGAAGTGATAGCATTAGTCTATACTGAATTAGTGAGGCCACTTTGAAATACTGAGTCCAGTTCCAATCACCACAATACCAAAACTATTATGAGGCTCTAGAAAGTGCAGAGAAGAGCAACAAAGATGATAAAGGATTTGAAGGCAAAATTGTGAGATGAATGGCTAAGATAAGTAGGTACATTTAGCCTAACCAAAAAATGTCTTGGGGAGACGTAATAACAGTCTTCAGTACTTCAGGGACTGTCACAGAAAAGAATGGGTTGATTTATTCTCCATAGCATCTGACGGCATGACAAGAAGCAATGGGTGGAAGCTCACAAGGGGGAGATCCAACCTGGAAATAAGGACAAATTTCCTTACAGCTAATCAATGGAACAGTTTGCCTCCCAGAGTTACAGGTTCTCTATTGCTGGAGGTTTTCAAGAAAAGATTGGACAACCATTTGGTGTAAGGACTTTTGCCTTGGGCAGGGGGTTAGACTAGAAGATCTCCAGGGTTCCTTCAAGTCCTACGGGTTCTATACAATCTTAGGAAAATAATTTTATTTCTCTTTTTTGCATTTGTTCCTGGAGTGTCACGAATAATTCCTAAATAAAGTACCACTTAGTTTCATAACCACTGTTCTATTATTTAAACAAACAAAATTGAATTGTTCTGTTCTACTTTTTAATTGAAAAGCCTTCCTTCCTTCCTTCCTTCCTTCCTTCCCTCCTTCCCTTTCTCTGCAGTCAGCTCTGAAGCCATAGGAGCATTTGTTAACCTGCTTAGTTCCTGCCTGTCTGCCTGCCTCTCTAGCAGTTCTCCAATGTGGCATGCGGTCATGTGACTAGCTATTTCCTCTAGATGACATCATTGCCTTTGCAGATATACCAGCGAAGAAAAGATGCTGTCAGGATCTTTGGAGCAGAACTAAATGATGTTGCACTGCGGGTAAGAGACCTTGCTCTGTTCTGTTATTTTTTAAGCTTTTCATGGGTATTGTTGTGAAATTAACCATTATCAAAGGAAAGCTTTAAAAATAAATCCTAATTATAATAGGCCTCTACAAATCAGAAGCTGGCAGGTGCAGAGGCTGTTTGATGTGTCTTCAGACATTCAGATGAGAAGTTCAAAAATAATGCTATCAAATGGGGTTTTAAAGCTGCCAAAGACAAACAATTGTCAGTGCCTATTATCTGACCTTTTTAGTATGCATGAAGCTGTATTTTCATTCTATCCAAACGGCAGGAATGGAACATTTGTGTTCAGATACATGAATTGGCTCTTTGCAATATATCAGGGTATCAGATAATATTTGTTTTAAAGGGAACATAACTCTAAATTTCTGGGGTAAATCATGTGGAAATTCAGTTTCATTTGTTCTTGGGGAGCTTGCTGGGAAAAAAAACCTTCAGTTGAATGGTTTGCCTAAGGAACTGTTAAATTGCCTATTTTCTTATTTTTTCCTTGTAGTGGGTAAGTGTGTTCCATGGTTAGTTTATGTGAAAGAAAATACTTAAGATTCTTAGGGATATTTTTACAATGTGTTGAAGAATGGGGTAATACATAACCTAGTATTTGGTAGAATGGATTGAATAAATAACTGCAAGAAAGTAATAAGAGATCTCAATTTCTGTGCCGTTCAGAAGGCCATGGTGAAATCTGTCTTTGAATAAAGAGAAAGTATTACTTGTGGTTCAGTTAAAAAGGCGGGCAGTTCTCTAATAATTTTGTCTATTTTGTCAAAACAGAATGTTCAGCTGTACAACTCTGACACTGAAATTTTCTACTGCAAGCAAAAAATGACTATGTTTTATTTCCTCTCCAAAAACCCTCTGTGGTTTAAGATTTCAAGCAGAGTGAAATTCAAACTAATCATTTAAAAATCTTAAATCACAGATTTAAAAAACATTTTTCATTTTTTACCAAAAATGTTCTATTGTCTAATATTGAATAGACCCATCTGTCCCTCCTGCCAAATTTCTTTTTATAACAAATATTGTATTATCCTATGTAAGCCTAGGATTGCTCTCAATCACAATATTACCTTGTGTAGTTACAATTTTTATTCACCTGCACACAAGGAAGGATTACTGTTTTGTATGCTGTAGACTGCATGGCAAAGAAGATAATTTGGGTTAGTTGACAAACAAAAACTGTGTTTATTTTTAAGCACATGTCTGAAACATTTAATATGTTATTTAAGAAAAAAAATTCTTTAAGGAATTCCACAATAACTCAGTCTGTAAAATTACACAATTATTTACACAATCATTAATCTGATGTAGTCACTCAGGAGCAACAATGCTTTAATAAGTCCACAAAGACATTGAATGAACAGTAAAACAGCAGGAATAATAAAAGCAGCATTATCTTTATATTGAAAAAAAACCACTTTGATTTGTTTTACTTCATACCATTTAATAAGTTTTCTGAACTTTTCTGTGGATTGATTTTCTATTTAGTGTTATGTTATTGTAATTTAAAAAGAATGGAAAATTTCCATAACTGCAAGAAAGGTTCAACAATTAGCTTGACAGCTAGCATGCTAGTTAAGGTTGGAGGAAAAAAAACCCAACCTGTTCCCATGTAACAGTTTGAAAAGTCACTGCCAATGTAAGATATACCATACTATCTAACTTGAGATAGACCAATTTCCTATCTTTCTGAAAAAGCATTGTTTGTAAACTAACAAGTGTTGTTAAGCATAGCTGAATAAAATATAATACATCCCATATATGATATTCCTTGTTAGCCACAATTATTTTGAGGGCTCTTCAGTGAACTATGTTAGACAGTCTGGGCAGGCAGGTTACACGTGTGCTTAGACCCAAATTTAGGAATTGTAGTTGACTTTTAAAATCCTAAATAGTGATTCAAGCGAATGCATATTCTAATTTAATTTTCAGTTGGCAGATACTGAAAATAAGACATTCTCATTGTGGCTCTATTCCATATAATTAACATTTAATATGATGTTTGATGGTTTAATAGCTCCAACTATTTTAATTCAAGCAGGCTTTTCACTAGGATATGCTAAGAAAAATATAAACTATTCTATTGCTACTGTGTAAGTTATGGGACTGCAAAAGTACCAGTTGGAAAAGATAAAACAAAACATTTTTTCCAGTCTCTATACTGATATAGAAAGACATATACTTAATGCAAAGTGTAGAAGAAATCTCCAACAGTGTTGGAACAAGAATTAGTTATGGTTTGAACTGTGCTTTTTTATTTAAGAAGGATTTTGAAATAAACAGAAGGCAGAGAAAATCGTTAATACCATTAATATTGGGCTGAGTTTTTACCCTTAGATTTTCTAGCAAAAGTACAGAACCCTTTATGGGGCATCATCATATATGGTATATGGTTTAGTTTTAAAGCTGCCCTAAAATTATCTTTAGGATCTTATTATGTAAAATTAACATATACTTAGACTTGCTTTAAAATGCTTAATGTTGCAAAATGTGAAATACAATTTGTGCACACATGCTGATCAGAAAAGCCACTAAAATATACAACTTCCCAACAATTTTAGCATGAATTAAAAATAGCTTTGGCCTTTTCTTATGTGTCTTTCTCCTATTGGAAATTCTTAGAAAATATTGGAAATTCTTAGAAAATAAACTGCTATATCAGTCATTTCTCTTTCTGATGCTCCAAAGGTGCTTTTCAAAAGGCAACTGGACTTTGTTCTTCCTTGAACACATTTTGCTTCTCATCCAAGAAGCTTCTTCAGTTCTGACTTGTTCTGACTAAAACACGAACTGAAGAAGATTCTTGGATGAGACGCGAAACATCTTCAAGGAAAACAAAAAGTCCAGTTGACTTTTAGACAAAGTCAGTCATCCAGGCCATGGGACAACCATGGCCTGGATGACTGACAATCTCCATAGACATCTTTCTGATGCCATTGATCAGGGCACACAATTATTTCTTCAATCTCTTGTTAAATATGTTAATAATTCTTAATAGTTTACCTAGAATTAGTGTGGATATTGTTTTTTAAAATGTAACTTATAGAGTCACTAAACCTGTATGTAAGGAATAATAATAATAATAATAATAATAATAATAATTAATAATAAAGTTGGAAGGGACCTTGGAGGTCATCTAGTCCAATCCCTGCTCAGGCAGGAAACCTGTTCCATTTCAGACAAATGGCTGTCCAGTCTCTTCTTAAAAACTTCCAGTGTTGGAGCATTCACAGCTCCTGGAGGCAGGTTGTTCCACTGGTTAATTAATTGCAACCTTCAAAGCTGATGACTTCCGCCAGATTTCTGAAGGCAAGCTGTTCCACTGGTTAATTGTCTTCACTGTCAGGAAATCTCTCCTTAGTTCTAGGTTGCTTCTCTCTTTGGTTAGTTTCCATCCATTGCTTCTTGTCCTGTCTTCAGGTGCTTTATACAATAGCTTGACTCCCTCTCCTTTGTGGCAACCCCTCAGATATTGGAACACTGCTATCATGTCACCCTTAGTCCTTCTCTTCATTAAACAATTCCAGCAACTGTTCCTTATATATTTTAGCCTCCAGTCTCCTAATCATCTTTGTTGCTCTTCTCTGTACTCTTTCTAGAGTCTCAATGTCCTTTTTACATCGTGGTGACAAAAACTGAATGCAGTATTCCAAGTGTGGCCTTACCAAGAAATTGTAAAGTGGCATTAACACTTCACGTGATCTTGATTCTATTCCTCTGTTAATGCAACCTAGCACCGTGTTGGCTTTTTTGGCAGCAACAGCAACATACTGCTGGCTCATATTTAAGTGATTGTCCACTAATACTCCGAGATCCCTCTCACAGTTACTACTATTGAGCAAGGTACCACCTATACTATACCTGTGCATTGGGTTTTTCTGGCCTAAATGCATGCTTTATAGTACTGCAAGGAAAGGGCTTGATGACTATGATAATGTAAGCATGATGTAAAAGAAATGCTAATATCTTAATACTGATCACACAACCTGCTCCTTTGTTTGTCATTTTATAGGTTATAGTATGGTTAATGCAGGAAATATGAATGGCTCTGGAAATCTGATGGATTTTTTGGATGAACCTTTCCCTGATGTTGGCACTTATGAAGACTTTCATACCATTGATTGGTTAAGGGAGAAATCTCGGGATACAGATAGACATAGAAAGGTAAGTAAAAGATAAACACTTGACATATCTGTTTAAAGTGATCAGTTGTAAAGTAGTTGTGAAGCGAACAAATGCAATATATACATAAATGTTGAAAATAAAAGAAATAGGTACTGTACATCTTCTCATGGTAGACTATTCACCAAAGAGAGGAAACTGGATAGATAAATTTTTAAGTTATGAAATTCTGATAGAAAAATAGGTAGGGTGGTTTGCTGAAGGCAAGTAATGTTTGTTGAAAAGTAAAAAAAATCTTTGTATAAGACAATCCTTTTGCCTACTTTGTTATTGAAAGTGATAGTTGAGTATCAAGAAAGATAAGGCCAATTGAATACAGTGAGGATAGGTTACTTCAGCTTGTGTGGTCAACAAGTAAAGCTAATAATAATTTAATAATTTATAAAGGGTATCCCAAGTGACTCTCAGTGATTCTGGCTGATTTGCAACAATCATAGAAATTACAATAAAACATAAAAATAAAGAAAAAAGATGGCAAGCATGTTGAAATGAAAAGTCTCACTTTCCCATGCCAAGTGATGATCAAGTCATAATATAATTACATTATATGAGCCAGCAGTGTGCAGCAGCAACCAAACAAGCTAATACAATTCTGGGTTGTATAAACAGAGGCATAGAATCAAGATCATGTGAAGTATTAACAGCTCTTTATAAAATCCTAGTAAGATCACAACTGGAAAATTTCAACCAATTTTGGACACTATACTACAAAAAAGATGTTGATACTTGGAAAAAATTCAGAGAACAGCAACTAAGATGCTGGAGACTAAAACATATGAAGAATAGCTGCAGGACTTGGGTTTGGTTAGTCTAAAGAAAAGAAGAAATAGGGGTGACATGATAGTAGTATTCCAGTATTTGGAGGGTTGCAACAAAGAAGAGGGGGTCAAATTATTCTCCAAAGTATCAGAGGGCAGGACAAGAAACAATGGTTGGAAACTGATCAAAGAGAGAAAGAACTTGGAATTAAGGAGAAACTTCCTAACAGTGAGGACAATTAATCAGTGGAACAGCTTGCCTTCGTGGGTGCTCCACTTCCCGGGAAAGTCATCAGGTTTGAAGGTCACAATTTTTTAAGATTGCTACAGACTCCCCCACAGTTTTCTAAGGCAAAAGAAACCTCCCTGGAGAAAAGGGAAGTTCTGGAAATTAACCCTTTTGCTCCCCTGGGCAGCTGGATGCTCTCAGAAAGCTTCTGGAAGAAGAAGTGATCCAGTGAGTCTCTAGCTGGGGGCTGGACAACCAAGACACACGTTCACTGTGGAGGAGTCAGCCGATCTAATATGGACACAAAAAAATCTGTCTCTGCTTCTTAGACAGTAGTCTTTGCATATTTACCTTTTCTGCCTAAAAGAGGCTTCCTCTGGCTGCAATCTGCCTTTTCCTTTTTGTGGATTCATTGTCATTTCTGTGGCTTTGGGAGTTCAATATGGCAAGGGGAGGTGCTTGAGTATCCGAGCCAAATTAAAGAAGCTGGTGAACACGGTGGACTTTACTTTGATGCCTTGGACTTAAAATAACTTCTGATAAGATAAGATAACCTTTATTGTCATTTTTTTACTATGGGCACAATGGCACACATCAAAAATGAAATTTAGTTGCCCGCTGACAAAGTGAAACACATACATGACACATACCTAAAACATACTATGTACAACATATACATAGCAAATAAATATTAAAAATGTCCATCTTGACTATATAACGGAAGGAGGAAGCTTGAGAGTTCACAAGGTTAATGCTGTATGGAATTAAACTATGGCTGAATCTGGATGTTCTGCTATGGATACCACAAAACTCCCAGAAAGTAATAAGGAAAACAGGTCATGAAGAGGATGTGTAGTGTCCCAGATAATCTTATGGACCCTGCTCAAGCAACACTTCTGTGCTATATCCTGGATGGGAGGGAGGGAACAGTCAATGATCTTTTCGGCCATTCTCATCACTCTCTGCACTGCCTTCTTGTCTGAAGCAGTGTTGCCTCCAAACCAGACAGTGATGTTATATGACAGGATACTCTCGATCGTCCCTCTGTAGAAAGTGGTCAGGACAGGGAAAGGAAGATGTGCTTTTCTCATGTGACGCAGAAAATGCAGGCGCTTCTGTGCCTGCTTCACCAGTTTCTCACTGTTGAGCGACCAAGCCAGTCTACTCGTTAGCTGCACACCAAGGACTTTGATGCTAGTAACCATCTCCACAGGTGAATCATTTATGCATAGAGAAGTGTGGTTGTGCCTGCCTTTTCTGAAATTGACAATGATCTCTTTGGCTTTTCCAGTAATTAAAACTAGGCTGTTTTCCTTACACCAGTTCACCAACCCCTCAATCTCCTTGCAGTAAGCTTCCACCTTGTCATCCTGAATAAGGCCCACTACTATTGTATCATCTGTGAACTTCACAATATGGTTGGTGGTATATCTAGCACAATAGTCATGGGTCAACAGGGTGAACAGCAGCGGACTTAAGACGCAGCCCTGAGGAGAACTGTGTTCAAGAAATTGGTATTAGAGGTATTTGTTCCAACTCGCACATATTGGGGTCTGTTGGTAAGAAAATCAAGAATCCAGTTGCATAAGGGAGTGTTTAAGCCAAACTGAAGTCCTCAAATGCACATGAGTATTTCTTTAAGTGCTTCAAGCTCAGATAGAGAATGGAACAAATAGCATCCTCTGTAGAGGATTTGGTCGGTAGGCAAACTGAAGCAGGTCAAATGCTGGCAGGAGGCTAGATACAATAATGTCCTTTATTAGCTTCTCAAAGCATTTCATGATGGTGGATGTCAGTGCAACCAGACAGTAATCACTGAAGCCTGTAATTGTGGACTTTTTTTGTCACTGGCAAGATGATGGCCTTCTTAAAACACGATGGGACCACTGCCTGCTGCAGTGAGAGGTTGAAAATATATGTGAGAACACAAGCCAGCTCCTCTGCGCATTCCCTGAGGACATGTCCAGGGATGTTATCTGGGTCTGCTGCTTTCCGAATGTTAACTGTCTGCATTGTTTTCCAGACAGAGGTGACATCAAAGCTTAGCACTTGCTCATCAGGATGGCGCACAGCTTTCCTAGCAGGAGTGCTATTTGATACCTCAAATCTACCAAAAAATGCATTCAGTTTGTTTAGGAAGTCTGTGTCATCCTTGCATCTTGATAGAGCATCTTATAATCAGTAATGGCCTGGATCCCTTGGCACATTCGCCTGGTGTTTGTTTGGGTCCTGAAAAAAGTTCTGAATTTTCTGACAATGCGCTTGCTTTGCACCTTTTATGGCACTTTTCAGATTTGCTCTGGCTGTTCTAAGTGCCAGCATGTCACCAGATTTGAAAGCCACATTCTGTGCTTTCAGCATCTTGCTGACCTCATATGTCAGTCACGGTTTTTCATTTGCCCTCACAACAATGCTTTTCAGGACACAGACATCTTCTATGCAGTTTTGGATATATGCAGACACCATGGTGGCATACTCCTCAACATTTGTATGTTGGCTATCAGTAGCTGCTTCCTTAAACATGCCCCAATCTGTGCATTCAAAGCAGTCTTGTAATGCTTCTATCGCTCCCTCTGTCCAAACCCTCACCTGCTTTACTGTAGGTTTCACTCTGACTAATAAAGGTTTATATGCTGGAATAAGCAGCACTGTCAAAGGAGCCCAGGTGAGGGCGGGGGATAGCTTTGAAAGCCTTCTTGATGTTGGAATAAGCAAGATCCAGTGTATTGTCCCCTCTGGTTGCAAAGTCCATATATTGATGGAAATGTAGCAGGGTAGCTTTCAAATCCACTTGGTTAAAGTCTCCCACTGCAATAAATGCACCCTCTGAGTAGTTTGTAAGTCACTGATGGTATGACAAAGAACTTTCAGAGCCACTTCTCTGTTTGCTTCAAGGGGGATATACCCAGCTGTGATAATGGTAACAGAGAATTCTCTAGGCAGATAGAAGGGTCTGCATTTGATGGTCAGAAGCTCCACATCTGGGGAGTACAGACTTGAAACCACCTTGGCATTATTACACCATCTGTCATTTATATAAAAACAGACACCCCCTCCCTGGGATTTGCCACTAAGAGTAAAACTCCTGTCCAGCCGAAATGTTGAAAATTCCATCAAGCTAACAGCACTATCTGGGACAGAGGGCTTTAACCAAGTTTCTGTTGCAATAATGATACAGCAATTTCTCACCTCCCAGTTTGTTGTTAAATCCAGCCTCAAGTAATCCATTTTTGGTTCTAAGGAGTGAGCATTTGCAAACAAAATAGATGGAAGAGACACTCTGTATGGTCTAGCTTTTAGCCTAGATGTTAGGCCTCCGCGTTTGTCACATTTCCTACCACGGTCACACCTCCTCCTTTTCTTCCAAAGGTAGTCAGCAATGGAGGGAAACTTCCCAGCAGCAATGGCTGCTCCTCCACGCTGCCCCTGTGGCCTGAGATACTGCCTTTGCTGCTCAAAACACTGAGCACGATGCTGTTTCCATCTCCAGCAACTTCCTTTTTTCCTCCCTGCTCCTCCAGATATTGCAGCTGATCACTCACCCTCCGTGTCAGCTGCTGGCATCTCCGTCCTTGATTTTCTCCTTCGTAGTATTCCGAGGCCATGCAGACTCTCCCTAACTTCCACACTTTTGAGAGCTGAAGCAGCCGCAGCCAAGCAAGATGCCGCCATCTTAACAAGAAACGGATGGAAACCCTTGGGCAACCAAGACACAAGTTCACTGTGGAGGGATCAGCCGATCTAATATGGACAAAAAAAAAATCTGTCTCTGCTTCTTAGACAGTAGTCTTTGCATATTTACCTTTTCTGCCTAAAAGAGGCTTCCTCTGGCTGCAATCTGCCTTTTCCTTTTTGTGGATTCATTGTCATTTCTGTGGCCTTGGGAGTTCAATATGGCAAGAGGAGGTATTTGAGTATTGAGCCACATTAAAGAAGCTGGTGAACACGGTGGACTTTACTTTGATGCCTTGGACTTAAAATAACTTATGGAGGAT